AAATGAACCTGCCTAGAGTGGAATCATGAGATTCCTCTTGCAGCAGCACTCTGCCAAAACTCACAGAGCCTCTAATGTCGAGTGGCCATCCTTCAGCAGGATCCATTGATACCAGTTCAATCCCTGTAAGGGATAAAGGCTTTGTCTGGTTAGCGACATGAAAACACCTTTTGTTGCGTGACTTTCTAGGGTGGCTCTAGAACTCTTTCTTTCCTTTTTATGCTTCTTCCTAAGCCAGATCCTCTGTCCTCTAGATTTTTGAAGCAACAGAGACAATTTCAAACAAATGTAGCATTGGAATGGATCTCAGAGATGCTGAGATCTTACGTGTTTCATGAAAATAGGGGGATAAATTAAAGAGAGAAACCTTCACAGAGACCCATTAAAGGGAATAGTGCTGTGTGAGCTCAGCCCGTGGTGGACAACAGAGAAGCTGCAGTAGAAGACATTCTCTCTCTCATACACGCACACAGGCACATAAATGTATTCCATGTCAAAAAATGCATAGGTCATCAGGCTTCCTGCTCCCTCTTCTCTTAGTCTCAAACTTCTCAGGGCTTCTGGAGCACCTCTGGGCACAGCCACAGGTTCTCTGCTGCATGACTTGATGGTAACTCCTGCGGTAAGTGGAAACATCCCTGGAAGCAGCCGGGCTGCAAGGGAAGGGGCTGCTGTTGTGTGAGAAGTGCCACACCGACGCTGTGAGCTGCTCCCACGGCACTGTCCTTTCACTATAGCCAGGGACAGAAGCAAAGACCACCTCTGGGTGGTGATTTGAAGCAGCTACGGTGATGCTTAGACCAGTGTGTATTACAGAAATTACCCAGCAGGTGTGGAGAGTCCCTTCAAGTAAGGCACCAACTCCCAATACCAAGTGCCCCTGGGAAAGACCCCTTTTTGGAAAGTCATTAGAGAAATCCTGGAAGTATCTTGAAGCCAGGAGGGGGGAGGCAGAGCCCCTTGGAGATCACGTCTGTGCCCCGAGACCTGCCAGGAGCAGGCAGCGCACTGAGCTGTGAAGAGGGCTGATGCCCAGCTGCAGCACAAAGTGTAAGAAAGCAGCAGGAGCTTTGGCCTGGTTTTGGGGTGTCCCCAGAGGAGCCAAGAGTGTCTGGCAGGTTTTTAATACATGCATTTCTAATGGGAGGCTCTTAGCACCATTTAAGCAATGGTAGAATTAAGTGCTGGCTTTTCCAGTGCACTGGGCCCCAGGAGGACAAGGTTGACAGGGTCAGAATTTCAGGCCCAAATTGCTGCTGTATGTGGCTTTTCTGGTTGACTTTTTACACCGTGGCCCCTAGACCTTGTACCCTCTCTCAGTCGTGGTCCTTCCACCCCTCAGCCCCCAAGCATGTCTCTGTCCCTCATATTATGCCTGTCCACACTTTCAATGGTTGTATTTTAACCTGTCCTTATACCTGGCCATCTAAGTAGTGACTGTAGTCCTGTGCCACCCTCTGTGTCACCTTGATCCCTGAGCCAAATGGCTTGTCCGTGGATATCAGGACATAGAGTCTCTGACTCAGATTTGGGGCTCTCCCCCTTCCATTTCATCCTCCCTGCTCCCTCCTCTAAACAGGGGAACCATCCCTGTGGCCTTCTGCTCTTCTGCAAACACTGTGGTGCAAAGAAATGCAAATAACATCGAGGCATCCAATAGTAGGGAATAAACCAGAGGGAAATCATTGGGAGCTCAGAGCTGGTGGCTTGACTTTGTGCCAGCCAAAGAGGGTACAGTGCCCATTCATGGGCACAATGCCACTACTGTTCCTAGATGCTCTCGCATACGTGAGGTTGGCCAGGAGCCAAGGGCACGTTGTGAGAGCCATCTTGGGTTACACTGAAGAGTACTAGAGCCCTGAAGCTGGGCAGGCTCAGCACATGGGGGTGGTGACATTGCACCTGCCCTGTAAAACAGATGCCGTGTCCCAACTTTTCCCCTTGCCCATAACAACAGCATTCCTCCAGACAAGGCTTTCTACAGCAAGTAGATCCCCCTTCCTTGGCTCTCCTCTGGGCTGGAGTTGCTTGCCTTTGCTCTCCTGACCACCCTCCATCCCTGTGTCTTCTTCCTTTGTTGCCTGAGAAGGAGGGGAGGGAAACAGCCAGCTCCACTGCCAGCACCTTTCAGGCCAGCAGGAAGGACAGTGTTTCTTCCTCGTGTTGTTGGACTCCAACACACTCCGATTTTTGTTCATTTGGCTCTAGACTGTTGAGGGAGGGTATGGTCCTGACCTCCCCATCCCTGGCCTCCCCTGGTCTGTGAATTGCCAGTGTCGGTGAGCAGCTGCTCTCTGAAGGGCAGGTCACGGCTGTGGTGGAGCTGGAGACCAGCACTCCTACGGCATTGCTGTGGCAGGGGCTGACGGCACTGGGCTGAGCTGAAATGGGGTCCTGGGCCATGAGCAGGGGTAGAAGAAGCCACAGACTGGGTCAACCACGGGGCCCTTAAAATCAGTGTGACAGCAGCGAGGCAGAAGCTGTTGGGGGAAGAGTGGCAGGGTCTACTTACTTCTTGTACATAGTCACCGTGGGGACCCAAGGGGACCAATGAGTTTGGCTTGAGGAATGGCTTGGCCTTTCCTTTGGCCAGTGGCTGAGGCAAGGTTGCGCAGCCAAGGTGGGAGGGGGACAGGAAGCAGGTCTTCTCTGCACGGTCCCCTTGTTTTTGACAGGTACCAAGGATAAACACCACCTTCATTTCTATCCACCCTCTAACTCAGTCACCTCTTTCCAGGCTGCTAGGACATCTCCCCTTCCAAGCCCTCTCTGTGCTGCCTGAGTGCAGCTCCCTGAATGGGATGGGGTGGCTCTCAGTGATTGCTGGGGCTGCTGCAGAGGAACATGGTCCTGGCCTCAGAGTTTCTCCTTGTGCACCATGAATGAGCTACAGCAGGCAAGGATGACTTCAGCTCAGCATTTGGAGCATCCTTCCCTACCAGAAGGGGTCAAAGCAAGGGGGCTGGGATGTTCTTGTACGGTGTTGGGTATTGTGCAGGGTATTTGGTGAGGTGAGACAGACAGGCCACAGCATAATGCTCGGAGAAGGATGCTGGCTAAAATCCCAGCTAAGCTTTTCACTGATTGCTCAGGGGCTGTCCCGAAACTCTCCTGGGGGCGGCCATACTTTGGGCACCAATGTGCAAAAAGCACAATAGTATCTGTCACTCTTTTGTTCAGTGGAAGAGACCGAGCAAAGTGAGGGAGAATCAGAGAGGAAGGTAAAGGGACAGAGATGATGCTGAGGATTGGCTATATATCTGCTTGGAGTCACCTCTGGAAAAGGTGGGACGAGGCAGGGGACTGGCACTGAGGCCTGTGGGTCCCAACCTGTGGAGAGCCAGATGTGCCTCCTATCTGATGCATCTGGGGAGACAGTGTCAGGAAATTACTTCTCATTGGATTATAAGGCTGAGAAACAAAACAACAGACCGTAAAAACCTCTGCCTTCTGCTTCATTGCTGGCTGATGCAAAGCTGAGGCAGCAGCTGGAGGCCATCATATGGCAGCCATAAATGACATGAATTTGGTGGCCTCAGATGATGAGCTGTGGGGAACAGAAGCTTTCTCTCTCTTTTCCATTGGTATAGCTCTTCTCCTCCTCCCCTTCTCCATCTTGGCTTTACTCTTTGGATTATTGAATATTTAAGTGTTTCTCTGTGACACTATCTCTGATCCTTTAATCCAGCTGGCCTGGTAATTCCACAGACCCAAATCAGCTCAGATTTCTCCACAGATGTAAGCCTTGTTCCTCAAGGGTTCGCTCCTCCTTCATTTATCTTCATTTTATTTCTGCCCTTTGTGTCTCTGTGCTAGCAATTGGTTCAGCTTTTGCAGCAAAAGCTTCAGTGATATCTTTAGTGAGCAGCCTCCCCCCAAAATAAAAACATCAAGAGAGGATCTTTATTTTTCATTAACTAAGAACCCTTTTCTCTGTTTTTTATTGTTTTCTTTCTCCTCAAAAAAAAAAAAAAAAAAAAAGAGCACACAGTCCTCATGTTTTATCTGCTATATGAAATTATTTCCTCTGCACTGCCTGAGGACACCCCTGCCCAGCTCCTGTCTCACCACAGTGGGAGAAGGGTTGAAGCTGTAGCCAGAGGGAAGGGTGCTTCAGGCTGCTGGTATCGGTCAGAACCAGGAGCTTGCCCAGAGCCCAGAAACACATTGAAGCAAATGTCACTTTGCTGCTGATTGCTGTAAAGTGTCCTTTCCCACAAAGGGGAAATGTTCATAGCCCCTGAGGAGAGGTGGCAAAGTAGGAAGGTGGAATCTGTGCACCCCTCTTTGGTGCAGGGTAGGTGGGTGATGTGCTCCAGCTCAGGACTTTGCTGGGCGAGAGACTGGAGGCTGGTGTTTGACACACTGCCTACACCCTGCCCTCTCCAGCATGCTCAAGTCAGGCTGGCTCACCTCAACAGCCTTGTCCCTGCATCGAGAGGCAGGAACAATTTTTAGAGCACAAGTGGCTACACGTGGCTTGAATTATTTATCCCTCTTGCATCAAGGAAGGAAAGAAACAAACAAACTGTTGGGTTTTTTTTCAGGACGGGAGGCTTGTCTGCATTTTACCTGCTTTATGCATTCTGTGTACATCAGCTGAAAATCTGTGGCTTTGGCTGTGCTTGGGGCTTGCCTTTGCTTACACTAAGAGTTTTGAGCCACTCACAATAACAGCCTTATTTTTCCTGCCCTCTCTCCCCTTCCTTTTTTCCCCAAAACTGCTGCGTTCCCCCAGGTCCCTGGTTGTAACCATGTTGCTTAAGGGAGCCTGGGTACCCTTCTGAATACCCCTGATAGGAGAATATGCATCATAAGGGTTCCCTTCTCAAAGGCTTATCAGCATGGCAGGCAGTACCACTCCTCTCTTGCTTGCACTCCTCATAATGCTGTCTCTTCCCCATCTCCCTCTTCTCGTGAAACTTTACTGTCTACACTCTTATCTCAGAGACCCCTCCAACTGATGCCTCTTCTTGTCTCCTGTGTGCTTTCTTTTCCAGATTCCAGTGACAGATGGATCTCTCTCGTACGCACTTGCTCTTTCCCTCTCTGTATTTTTGTTTTCGACATGTTTGATCTGAAGCTCTGAAGCTTCTCAGAGGAAACCAGGGAGAGAAGCAAGAGAAGGAGGAGAACTGAGGGAGCGTGAGCGACAGAAGAGGCAGCCCTGCCTTGTTCTTCCAAATCACACCGTGGAGGGGCGAGGGAAGACTAGAGAGGGGGAGGACTTGGGTTTGTTTTGGGGTGGGTTCAGTGTGGGTGGGGGGTGGGTGGGAGGGAGGGAGAAAAGTGGAAAAGGTGGGCGAGTTGCTTGTGAGCATCAAAGAAGATTTGTTATCCTCGGTCTGAATTTTTGTTTAGAAAAGAAGCACAAGGTAGTTCCCTTCTAGACCAATCATCCATGGTCTTAGCTTTTGGGTGTGCTGGAAGCAGACTGCACGTGTTCCCCCTGCTCCATGCTCCTGGCTTGACCCAGAGGGCAAGAAGAAATAATGGTGACAACACCCAATAGGACTGGGGTGCTCATGCCCTTCCATTGCTAAAGCTCAGTTACTACCCCTTTCTCCTCCCAATGCTCCCTAGTTTCCTTTTGCTGTGGTCCTGAGATTTGGGGTTGTTTTTTATTGTTGTTTTGTTGTTTGTTTGTTTGTTTGTTTGTTTGTTTGTTTTGTTTCTGTCCTAATGAGGGCACCACTTCAGACCATGATGTGCCTGGGGTTGTGGGCAGCTGCCCTGCTCTGCTTGTTTTCCCCTGGCACCGTGCGAGGTGACTGCTGGCTGATTGAGGGGGACAAAGGTTACGTGTGGCTGGCCATCTGCAGCCAGAACCAGCCCCCGTACGAGACCATCCCCCAGCATATCAACAGCACGGTGCATGACTTGCGTCTGAACGAGAATAAGCTCAAAGTGGTGCTGTACTCCTCCCTCAACCGCTTCGGCAACCTGACTGATTTGAACCTGACCAAGAATGAGATCTCCTATATTGAGGATGGGGCTTTCATGGGCCAGTCAAACCTCCAGGTCTTACAGCTGGGCTACAACAAACTCACCAACCTGACAGAGGGCATGTTGCGGGGCATGGCCCGTCTCCAGTTCCTCTTTGTGCAGCACAACCTAATTGAGCTGGTCACCCCTACTGCCTTCTCTGAGTGCCCCAGCTTGATTAGCATTGACCTGTCATCTAACCGTCTCAGCCGCCTGGAGGGGAACACTTTCACCAGCTTGAGCAATCTGATGGTGTGCGAGCTGGCTGGCAACCCCTTCAACTGCGACTGTAGCCTCTACAGTTTTCTTAACTGGCTGGCGCTCTTCAACAATGTCACCAAGAACTATGACCGGCTCCAGTGTGAGACTCCACGGGAGTTTGCTGGGTACCCACTCCTGGTACCTCGGCCTCACCACAACCGCAATGCCATCACCATCTTCCAGTCCATGTGCAGAGGTGGCACCATCCCCTCCCTCTCCAGGGTTAACCCCACTCCTTATACCCCTGACTCCCAGCGAGACCTGGATGAGGGCTCAGCCATCAGCCCTGGGGACTTCCTCTCTGTCAAGCCTCCAGCCTCCTCCACCACCGACTCCTCCTTCAGTCCCAGCATCAAGCTCCATGATGTCACCATCACCTCAGCCATCCTGATGGTAACCATCCCCATGCCCTACAGCAAGATGTATGTGCTGGTCCAGTACAATAACAGCTATGTTTCTGACATAGCAACACTGAAGAGCAAGAAGGAATATGTTACTGTCAACAAGTTGAAGGCTCACACTGATTATACTTTCTGTGTGGCCTCCATCCGCAACAACAGGCGCTACAACCACACTTGCCTGACCTTTGCAACTAGGAGCAAAGGCAGGGAGGACCCCATTTCCAGTACTTCCACCACCACACACTATATCATGACCACCCTGGGTTGCCTCTTTGGGATGGTCATTGTCCTGGGGGTGGTGTACTACTGCCTGCGGAAGCGGAGGATGCAGGAGGAGAAACAGAAGTCCCTCAATGTCAAAAAGACCATTCTGGAAATGCGTTATGGATCAGATATTGATACCAGTACCATGGTCCACCCTTCACAGAAACTGGGTGACCCACCAGTCATCCCTGTCTCACGGATGTCTTCCATCCCTTCCATGATTGGTGAGAAGTTGCCCCCATCAAAGTCAATGGAGGCTGGGATGGAGACTCCCAAAGTCACCACTAAAGGTAACTACATTGAGGTGCGAACTGGTGGTGGGGATGGGCTGGAGCGAACCCAGCGGGATGAGGATCTGAGAGAGCTTGACAACGGGCAAGGCTCAGCTGCTGAGATCTCTACTATAGCAAAGGAAGTAGACAAGGTCAACCAGATCATCAACAACTGCATTGATGCCCTCAAGCTGGACACAGCCTCCTTCCTGGGTGGTGGGACTGGCGTTGACTCAGACATGGCCTTTGAGTGCCAGTCCATCCCAGCCAGTTCCTCGGGTGGGCTAGAGCGGCCCAGCTTTCTTTCACCACCCTACAAGGAAAGCTCCCACCACCCTTTGCAGCGCCAGCTCAGTGCTGATGCTGCCGTGGCCAGAAAGACCTGCAGTGTCTCTTCTAGTGGCTCCATCAAGAGCGCCAAGGTCTTCAGCTTGGATGTGCCTGACCACCCACCCCTCAGCAAGTCTGACTCCAAATACATTGAGAAGGGCAGCCCACTCAACAGCCCTTTGGATCGTCTTCCCTTGGTGTCCCCAGGCGCCATCCACCACTTGGAGGTCAAGCCTTCTTACCATTGCAGTGAGCACCGTCACTCCTTCCCGGCCCTGTACTATGAGGAAAGTGCTGACACCTTGAGCCAGCGGGTGTCATTCCTCAAGCCACTCTCCCGGTCCAAGCGAGACTCCACGTACTCCCAGCTCTCCCCTAGACACTACTTCTCAGGCTACTCCTCCAGCCCTGAGTACTCATCAGAGAGCACCCACAAGATCTGGGAGCGATTCCGGCCTTACAAGAAGCATCACAGGGAGGAGGTTTACATGGCGGCTGGGCATGCCCTGCGGAAGAAAGTTCAGTTTGCCAAGGACGAGGATCTGCATGACATCCTGGATTATTGGAAAGGAGTCTCTGCTCAGCAGAAGCTGTGACTCTTCTTCCCTCTTTCCAAGGAAACAATACAAAACAAGACACCCCCCCCAACAACCAGAAAAAAAAAAAAAATGCCAGTTGACTGTGAAAAATAAACCAACAACAAAATACTCCCAACAAATACAAAACTGACAAAATTGTTTCTTAAAGTTTACAACAACAACAGAAAACTCTCACACACACAGACACACACAGACACACACCGAATTGTCTCTACTGTGTTACGGGGACCATTGTTCTGCCTGCAGATGGTTGGGAGGAGTGTCCAGCTCTGACACTGTGGTAACAACACGGGAGTGTGGGTGGGTGGGTATGGCCTGGGAGGGGGTGGCAGAGGTGGCAGAAGAAGGGCAGGGATGGACACTCACCAGGCATGAAACTCAGCTGTGAACTATGGCTCTTTCTGTTCCTGTTGGGGGCTGGTTTTTCTTTTGGGTGGGAGGGGAGGACTTTGGTTTAGAAAGCTTCTCTGTCCACCTGACACACCTGCTATTCCAAATCTTCCATCACCAATTTTTCCCTCATTTCCTTTGACAGTGGAGGCTTTTCTCCCTCTCCTGTCCCCTCCCAAGATAAGTGGGACCTGTTAGAAGAAATTCTCTTGCTTCTTTTCCTTTGCCCTTTCCTGCTCTTCTCTGTTAAGGCTCTCTAGGCTTGTACTTTCTGTCTGGATACTTCACGAACTTCTATCCACCTCAGAGGAAGGAGAGGAGGTATGAAGAACCAAGGGAGGCAGGACCTGCTGTACAACAGGCTCTTTGCCCTTGCTGCTCTTCCTCCTTCCCTTCTCCTACCATGTTCTTGCTGATGAACACCAGCAATTCTGGAGTGACAGGCATTCTCCAGGCCTGCTCAGAGCCAGTTTTCTGCTAGTTGGTGGTGGGGTATGAATGTACTTTTTGGCATGGAAAGCCAGGTCCTCAAGGAGTGGTGGAGGAAAAGGCAGGAATTTCAGGTCTCTCAGAGGTGTAAAGGGTTCCTATCTCTCCACAAGTGTCACAGGTCAGAGGTCCTCCCCACCATACACACCTATGCTCAGGTTGCCCTTGTGCAGTACATTTGATACTCTGTTCATCTCTCCCTTACTATGAGGAAGGGACCTGGAGAGGAGCTCATCAGAACAAGTTCTACACGAAGCTTCTGCAGCTCTTCCCAACTGACTTGCATCATGGGGTGTGGGGTGGGTGGGAGTACATGAGAAGAGCATCACCCAACCTCCTCACTTGCAGGTGAATGTGAAGAATGGGATTTCAGCTGATGACCTCACTGGGTTGACAGAAAAGCCACAAAGTGTCTTCCTCTTGAATAGGCCATGGACATTCTGGCATGGATAGGAGACAGCCTAGGGTGAAGGCAGGAGCACAGGAAACAAATGGGATGTGAGAATGGGGCCTGGGAGTAGCCCAAGAGGGATGGCTCCAGAAGAAGCTCCTTTTGTGCGTGCAGCCACACTGTGTGTGCTGGGGTAGAAGAACCACCCTCTGGATGGCAGTGTTCCTTTGAATACTTCGAGGCCCTCATGAGAGTCAGAGCAACATATCACCTCCTAAATCCTCCACCTCCTCACAGTTAACTGTGACAAACTATTCTTAGGGATCCTTTAATGTCTTGCAAAAACCTGGTTTCACTTGCTAGGTCCCAACCTCTATCCCTTGGATAGAAGATCTGCCACAGAGCTGGGAATGAGCCTACTGCCCTCTCCACCTTGTTCCGTTTCTGAGCAGCCCAACAAAGCACAATCTTGGCACCGTCTACCCCAAAGTTTTCTTGTCAGGCAGGGGTGCTGCCTGCTGAGTGCATTTTTATGCATCACAGTGGGCCTCTTCTCCATGAGCTGCACACCCCAATTCTTGACAATCATTCACCTCTGTTGGGATGAGGGTGAAGGCATGTGTTGTGTTGGCCTTTCTTAAGTGGCTATTCCTTTTTGAGGGGCTCCTTAGAAGCCTCAGTGTTTTGGGGGGCCCTGGGAGAAAGATGAGGGTGTAGGAGCTTCTCTGGGAGGGATTTACATGCTGTCTGCAGAGAATCTGCCTGTTATCTGTCAGGTAGTAGCACTGCCAGCTGAGAGCTGGTTTCTGTGCCACAGGTGACACGATTTCATCTTCTGTGAGGTGCAGTAGTAAGCAGAGCCTGGTGTGTGAAAACCAGAGAGGGGATCCCCAAGGTCTAAACCCATGAAGATCTATGGGGTTCCTTCCTTGTAGGGATGCTGATGGCAGCAATGCTAAGCCAGGTCCTGATCCCATTGCCTCAGCCTCCTTCACTGTCAGCCTGCTTCCCCGCAGTCAAAACATCATTTTGCCTTGAGTCCAGAGGTATTCATGGGATTGACTCCACACCGTAAGAGCCAGACCAACCCATAGGAAGGGGTGTGTATGCACACGTGTGTGTGTGTGTGTATGTGCAGGAGGATGGAGGAAAGTCACATCACTGCTGTCAGTTGTCCCTCCATGTTGGGACAATGCAGCAAATCAAGAGAGGTAAATGCTGTGAGAGATGCTTAGGCACAGCAGAGACCTCTCCAGCTATCATGTGGAGCAGGCCCAGTGGTCTTTCAGCGTGGCAACCATCCAAGCAAGAAAGACTAATGGCTGGGGCACAGAACTGGACAGGAAAGGGGGGACACAGGCATGGGGGGAAGGAGTCCTGTTCCTCTCCCCACCTCTTCCCCCCCTGTGCTTCTCTGCTGTATGGTCTTATAATCAGTTCCATTCAGTCTATACTTTTGGGGGGAGCATTAATCTGTAATGGTTTCTGCTCCCTCCCCCCATCACCCCCATGAGGCAGAAAAGAAAGGTCAGGGATACAGCTATCATCAGGCCCTTCTTTTGCCTGTGGTGGGGGTAAGGCTGGGTAGGAGGGACAAGCCATTTCTCTCCCAACTGTAGCCCCCCACTCCAAACCAGTGGGTGAAGTTTGCACAAGATGGACTGTTCTGTGGGAGGAAGAGGGCAAGGAAAGGGAACAAAGTGTCTCACCTTCCTTCCTCCTCCCTTCTTCCTTGTCCTGCTCCCTCCTCAGGGACAAGGGCTTGCAAAGTAACGCCAGCCCTGTCAGAGGAAAGCAGATTTAACGTTCTATTTGCATGACGATTTTACTGTATTTTTCTGAGCAAACACCTGTTGTGTATGTGCCAGTTCGTTGGAATTTAACCTTCTCCCCCAAAGTCTCTCCTGTCCTTGTCCCTGTTTTCCCTGCTCCTTTCATTCATCCCTGATGTGATTTTATGAGAGACTCCTACCAGTTTGGGAAGGAACACACCCCAAAGAGAACCCAACCCAATCAGCCCCATAAAAAACATTCCTTATTCTTTCCAGTGCCCCCTCCCTTTGCCCCAGATGTGGTCTCTCAGCTGCTTTTCAGGTTCGTGTGCGTGAAGGGGGATGTGCTATTTACCAAAGGCCTGCTCTTTCTAGTGGTCATCATTTCTCCTCATTATTTAGAAACAGGAGTGAGGCCCAAGATAGATCTCATTAGAGAAATGCTCACTACCATCCCCTTGCCCTGGTTGCTTTTCCCCAAAATCTACAAGCAGGGCTATTCTTAGGGGAACAAGGAGTGCTTCAGCTGCAAGGAAACCTCTGATACAGTGAAAGCTTGATGTGGAGCTGGCTGCAATCACTTGGACCTCCCACAGCCTTCCTCTAACTGACTGCAGGGAGCTCTGGATTAGGTCCATCCTACCCCTCCTCTCCCATGGGTAGCCCTGGCAGAGGGCAGGGCATGATGAAACCTTTAAGGTCTCTGTGGTAGGAAAAAGCGTGGAGAGAATGCTTGAAGTTTCTAAACCCTCTTGGGCTTGTCCTTCACCCCTGCCTTTTCCCAGGGCAAAGTGTATCCATGGAGCAGAACCAGGACCAACCCCTTTCACAATTTATTTTTGTGTTGGTGACTCGTGGCAGGGAAAACAGGGGTTTAGTTCACCTCACTGGAAAGTGTGGAGGGTGAGGAATGAGGTTGGGTACTGACCTGCCCTCTTCCCCCAGGAACAGGCTCGGGGGGGAGCCTGGGCTGTGTTCCTGCACCTAGAATAGTGGTGAGACTCTAGACGTGCCATTCCCCTGGGGCAGAGCTCTTCCCCCTCCCTGCCAGTGTTGCCCCAGTTTATGCTGCAGTGCCACGTTCCCCTCTCCCTCTCCCCACTCTTCCATGCTGAATAAATCCCTCCTGAGGCAGGTGTGAAATATTCATGACTGACAAATGAAGATTTATGTCGGGCTGAGGAGGCCTCTGTGTGTTTGCAATGCTAATCAGCCTGCCTTCCTGGAGGAGGCTCTGCCAGGCAGGCTTGGGGGAAGGAGGTGGAGACGCAGGAGGGAATGGGAAAAGGAGCTGAGGAAGAGAGAGGAGGGGCAGACACAGCAGGGATGAAGAAGGTGTGGAAGAAGGTATGGTGGGTCCAAGGAATGGGGAGGTAAAGACGGGACAGTTAGAGGGAGCTTGAGAGGGTGGAGAAGAGGGTCTGTCTGGAAAGACCAGGAGAAGAGATGGACCCACTGGAAAGAATGGGATGGTTAAAGGAGAAAGGGACCTGCAAGGGTTGAATGCAGAGGTGGAGGAGGTGGGGAATAAGTTAGCAGTGCCTGAAGAAAAAAGCTGGGCAGACTTCGTGATGAGCTGTGGCCCCTCTCTGTAGGACAGAGCTCAGCGCTACGGGGTGGGCAGCTGCCACAGGGGCAGGAGCCGGATCCAGGGCCCCGAAAGCACATTTGCCATGCTTGTTGCTGACCGGAAAGCTCAGCTGCATCTGGAAGGACACACAGCCTCCGGGAGCCTGGAGAACGTCCCTTCCACCGCCACCACCTCCTTCAGCACAAGCCGCACATAAGAAGAGCCTCACGGAGCCGCGTCCTCTTGCTGGAGCCAGCCTGCCGCTGTCCCACCATCCGAGCATCTTCAGGGTGGCTTGGTGGGGGACGGACACCGAGTGCCACCCTCCACTGGGCTACGGGGGGGGGGGTCTCTCGTAGGGCTGGCAGAGCCTGCACCACCTCAGCTTCCCCCCTGCCCACCCTGGCCGAGGCAGGCGTTTTTGGGTCTTTCCCCGACGAAGGGGCGGAGGGCAGCATCTGTTGCCTCCCCCCCCGCTTACACACGCACGCACCCCCGCACCCCGTCTCTCCAGCCGCTTTGGCCTTGTACTGTGAGGGGCATTCTCGGTCGGCCTCCCCTCGACATCCCCTGCCGTGCGCTGTGGGGAGACGTCTCTATGCCTCCTCTCCGCACGGCCGCCCCAACCCACCGCCCTGTCCCCGAGCGGAGAGAGGGCGATCCCTGCCCGGCTTCTCCTTCTCCCGCTGGGTGGGCGCCTCCTCTTCCTCCTTGCCCCTCCGGGAGGTAAATCACCCCTTCTCCCCTTTGCGGTCCCCCCTTCTGTCTGCCCCACCCTCGCGCGTTTGGCTTGGCCTTTGCCTCCCCCATAACTACCACCGCCACTGTGAGGCCTTGCTCTTGGGCGGCCTGTCCCCACCGCCTGCTCTCCGCCTTCCCCGGGGAAGCGGGGGAAGAGGAGGAGGCCGGCTGGGTCAGGCCAGACCCCTCCAGGGCTGGTCCGGCTGGTCCATCCACAAGCACAGCACCGGGGGTGAGGGGGTGGGAAGGGGCGGGCAGCTGCCGGGCACGGAGCTGGGGGTATCAGCCCCCGAAAGTGGGGAAGGGCCTGGGAGGCAGCTGCTGGGACTGGCTCCTTGTGGCCTCTTTGGTGTTCCTCCTTCCGTAACAACCCTGTGACCCCCCCCTGGATGTGTATGGACAAATTTGAGTTGGAGTTATGTTCTTTCCTTTTCTTCCTCTTTTTTTTTTTTTTTTTTTTCCTTTCTTCTTTTAGATTTTTATTTCTTTCTTTTCTTCCTTTTCTTTTTCCTGTTTTAAAACTGAATGGCACGAAATCGTTTTTCCTCAACTCGAAGATTCCTGTATGGAGAAAATCAATTTCTATATTTGCAATAAATTTCTTATTTAAAAAAAAAAAAAAACAAAAAAACAAAAAAACCCAAAAACCAACAACAAAAACATATGAAAAGCTGCTTTTGAGTCCATTTGTCTCAGCCTTGTATTGTAGAGGAGGTGGGATGGGAGGGAACAGGGTAGGGGAGAAACTGAGAAAGCTGGGACAGAGCATGGGAGAAGGACTGTGGATTCTCCCAGGTACCCAGTGATCATATGCTCCCCCCAAACTCACTGTTTCTCTGCCCTTGGATATTGCCTTGTTTGGGTGCATCCTCATTTTCACTGAGTCCTCAGTTTCACCGTGATACCGGTCCCCTCCTGCACCAATCAGCACCCACTTCATGCCACATTCTGGGCATACATACAGCACGGCCTGGGTGTAGGGCAGCGCTTCCTCGCTCATCACCTACACTACAAATTCTCAGCTGGCGGTGAGAGGCATCTTCTGCCCAAGCTCCACAGCTCTCTGGAGGAAGGCAGTCCAACCCAGGTGATTTGGCCATGGGTAATGACTGAGAAATCTGTAGCCTATTCCACTAGCAAATATCCTGATCTCGGCTCTTCCTAAGCATCAATATTTAAAGTCAAGAATACAGCCAGCAAATCCGTGGCTATTGGTGCATTTATACACATAATTAGGCCAATTTGTGTATGGTGACATAGCAGCCATTGCCTTGCATGTCTTGTCTCTTCTCTGCCTCTCATTGTTTCTTGTTTCTCCCAAGAGTGGTATTGCTGCTTTGCTCAGAAGGTCTCTTCTTTTGCCCTTGCACATCCAGCTTTCATCAGACAGACCTAACCTTGTCTTCTGAGCTTCCTTCTTGGGTGTGCTGAGCTCACAGCCTCTGCTCCTAGTGTAGGGAGGGGCAGGAATGAACAGTCCTAGGGGGTTGTGAATATGGACATAACAGTGACTTTCAGCTCCTGGATATATATATGCTGCAGTAGCTGATGACTCTTATTAATGCTTGAATTGATTTTAGAGCAGCCTTGGGGGAAGATGCTACTAGAGGCAGATGCTTCACAGTCTGACGCGTTCTTCATTGGACTTAGGAAGAATGATTAAATGTGGGAAGGAATGGTGCTGGTCTGTGCATCTCTGGGGGATGGACAATGGTACATAACAGACAGCAGCTCTGCTGGGGTTAATCAGAGCTTCATGTGCTCTGTGGAAAGCTGGATCTTTGGGTCAAAGTGGTATTCCTGGCATCTGCATCTCTGCAGTGCAGGGATATAGGCCTTCTGAGAAAGGGACTCTCAAACCTTGGGAGGAATTAATGCATAAATTATAAAGAGGCATAATCTAATCAGTAGAGTGACCCCATGCTGCTTATTTTGTTGCTAAATTCGATTTTGCCTCCACAGTCCCTGAATTTCATCTGGTTGCTCTGCCACAGGGATGAGAAAGGATAACATGTATTTACAAATTCTGTCTAGGACGAGCAGGAAGTTTAGGGAAGGGAAGACTGTCAGGGCTGAAATAATCACAAATGTCCTGAAGCCAGGTGGGGACTATTGGCCTGGGGGGACATGGAGGCACTGTAGTCAGCCCTCTGAGCCAAAAAAATCTCTGATGAAAGAGTTACACAGTGTTTGTATTTAAGCAGCCTTTGGCTGATTCCAGTCGGAAACCTTGGGAGTCCTCTACTCCACACAGGGCTGTGTGAACTGGTGAGTGTCCGGGGGAGGAATAAGGTGTGAGCTGCGTCTAGGAGTCCGCGTTGTTCCCACAGGTGCCTCTGAATATAACTGTGCCCAACTGACGCAGTCCCTGCAGCAAACCACACTGACCTCTGCCTCCAGAAACTGCTTGGTGGACCATGACGGCTGCATCATGGAGTGGGAGAAAGGCCCAGCGCTGCACTGTGAACAGTGGAGTGGCTGCAGTGGACAGCGTGAGGGAGAGAGTCACTCGGGGGGCTGGCATGAGCTGGCCTGCCAAGTAAAACCATCATGGAGAAGAACAGTGCAGCTTTGCATCGCCTCGTGTTTTAGGCTGGCTGCAGACTCAGGAAGACCATTTTGTGTCGTCTTGTGGTTGGGTCACACTGACACGGTTCTTTTTAGCCCCCATGAAGTTCAGTAACTTATCCAAGCCACCATTTGCTGCAGCACCGGAAGAACTGACTTAACCACAGAGCTTTTTGCTGGAAATCATAGGGGACAGTTGAGGGGTGTGTGTGTGTGCATTTACATATGTGTTGTGAAACAGACAGGCAAGTGGGCAACATTGCCCTCTTCTGGACTGACTGTCAGGACTGGAAGAGCATCTCTAGTGGAATTGCAGCCTGGCAGATGAATCCTATTTCCACTGCAAAGGTAACATCCTTTCTGAGCCTTGATTTCCTATCCAAATCCCGGTGGCTTTTATAATAGTCAGCTCACATTAGGGGATACCACCACATTCTGCAGCTCCAGTGCCTGGGGACCCTGAGCAATCATGACTCCTCAGGGTAAGGCCAAGGTTAAGAGAGCAGAGTGAAGAATCAAGATAATGTTGATTCCAATGGAACCACTAACCAAAAGCTCTGAAGGGCAGTGAGCAGATGGATGAGGGTGTGAGGGTCATTCTGCTGACATTTGTCCCAAGGGCTGTCCCTCAAGGGGAGGAGAGCAGTGTAAGCCAGGGAATGGTCAGGCCAACATCTTTCCCCAGGTCTTGGACACACTCAATTAAAACACAAAGGTGTGTGCCATGCAGCGCTGGAGGACAGACTGAGATCTACACAGAGCCCAGGGGGATTTGGAATTGTAAGTGCACAGGCCATGCCCATCCTTAGCACGGGAGCAGAGGATGTCACTGAATAACCTCTGTATCTCCCTTCTCATCCTTGGAAGAAAAACAAAGCGAGAAAAGGCAAACACGAACAGCCTGAGAGTGGAAGATTTAGGAGTCAAAGGATAAGAGAGATGGAAGGAGGACTCAAATACACAAGGAACATGTACACATACATAGTTAAGACGGTGAATGGATTAGTATCACTGGTGCTGCACTATACAGCCAAACTCAAGGTTCTGCCACAGGCTTGGTGGGACTATGGCAGGGTGAAAAACTGTTCCATTTCTTGGTTTCCCAAGTATCCAGCAGGAATCTGTGACTTCCCTTCACTCATCGGGCTCGCTGAGACAAGGTCTGTCTCTCACAACACAGTCATATGATACCTCTTGCAGTGAGATTGTCAGATTACTCAGGTACTGATAGTTAATATTTATTCTTGAAGGAGGAGGGAACAGCATTGAAAGTGAGTCTCAGGAGCTGTATTGGTGACTCCCGCTAACCAAGGCAGAAGTAAGTAGGGACCCAGCCAATGCTGCTGTGGAAAATGGATCAAAAGCCTCATCACTTTTTAAATGAGAAACACTTTAAAAAAGAAAAGCATTCAGCTCCATCTCTCTGTATATGTCTCCAGAAAGGGCATCATTACAAATTCATTGCAACTTCTGCACCCAATTTTCCGGCCCAGTGCCTTGTCCCGCTTGTCTTGCTCCAGCTCCAAAGACAGTGGAGGCTCTGCCATGAGTATCAAGGGACAAACGGGACCTGAATAACAAGATGGTGCTTGAAGAAAGGGCGGGGGAAGCTGAGAACCTCTGGTGTGAAGTGATTGAATGAGGGAGAAGCACAGCTAGGCAGGGAACATGAGGAAGAGCCAGGCTTGCCTGCAGATTTATGTGCACATGGGCACAAGCTTGCCCCAGCTTCCTGCTGTCACCTGCTCACACAGGCCTGGAGATTTCCTTCTACTCTGTTCTTCCCCTTACTGAACATCTGGAGTTTATCCAGGGGTGAGA